CCGTGTATCTCGGTGTGTGTGTGTGTGTGTGTGTGTGTGTGTGTGTGTCCCAGATCCCAAGGGAAAAAAGGAGGAGAAGGGATTGCAGTGTGACCATCCCCTCTGAGGGGTGACTTCCCACTTTCTGTCTCTCTGTGTCTCTCTGGTGAGCACATGGGCCCTCTAGCGAAAATCTTTCTCTTAAAAGAAAGAAAGAAACTAAGGTTTGCAGGTTAAGAGAGTGGTTGGGCCAGGTCACCGAGAAATAGCGTTCCAGACCCAGGTCTGAGCATCTTCAGAGCTGGTGACTTGGTGTTCACTGCAGCAAACTTACCATCTTTCTTTCCCCTTAGACATTATTTCTTGTGTGGTTTTGCAATCCCAGAAACGGAAAATCTGGATTCACCCCTCCTGGAGGCAGTTGGGAGTTCCTCATCATCCATTACAGGTCCTGCTGGGGTTTGCCCCCCTCTTCTTCTTTTTAAAATTTATTTTATTGATTCCTTTTTTTGTTTGTTTTTGCTATTGGGCATGTTGTACTTGCCAGAGAGAGACGGGGTGGGGGTTGGGAGTAAGAAATCACCCCCAGGAGGAATGACCACACCATAATCTCTTTTCCTTCTTCTCGTCTTGGGATTTTGGGCATGCGCGTGCACACACTCAGCCCACGTGTTTTTCAAGTCACTGAGTCTGGGACTCAAACTGCGTATCCCCAGCGTGGGATCCAGCTGCTTTAACCACCATGCCAATAGCGGGTCTCTACCACAGGTTGTTTACAAGAATCTCTGATAGCCAAAGGCTCTCTCTCTTTTTAAAAGTTTGTTCATTTCTTTTTTTTCTGAAAGAGAGAAACAGCAGGAGAGAGAATGCGAAAGGGGCTCCCCCCAATAGGCTCTTCCCATCACCATCCACCCCTACCCGAGCCAGCCCAGGTCCCAGACACGTGTGTGCTTGGCATGCTCAGAGAGGCCCCAAGACATGAACCTAGGACCTTTTTCAGGTGGGTCAAGTTTCATTACCACTGCACCACCACCTGGCCCTAAGGCTGTGTCATGTTATTGTCCTTTCCAGTTGATGAGAAAGATTTTATGATCATCTTTCTACAAATGGAGATACGAAAGGAGATTGAGTGTTCACTATCGTAATCTAGGCTGTGGAAGTCAATGAACTGAACCAATTTCACTTCTTCCAAGTCACAAATGAGGTCCATGGCCACTTTTTTGAAAATGAAGATTTAGGGCCAGTCCTTTAACTTAGTGGTTAAGGGAGCCAGATTCCACGTTGCTGACCATAGTTCAAATCCCACCCCAGCAGCTTGAACAACACACCGGGCACATGCGTGTGCATGCCTCAAAACCCAGTAGGATGGAGAAACGGAGGAGCTGGGATGGCAGGGGTGAGCACACCCCATTGGGTGCTGCTTTTTCTCTCTCTCTCTGTCTTTTTCTGGCCCATACCCTCTGGTAATTACAAACAAAAAAATAAGTGATCATTTAGAAATCCATTGCGGGGCTAGCTGGTGGCATGTGATTAGGGTGCTGGACTCCCACATGGCTGACCATGGTTTGAGTCCTGGGCCTGGTGCCTTGCTTTCTCTCTCTCTCTTTCTCTTGCTCTGGTCAAATTTAAAAATTAATTAATTAATTAATGATTCTTTTCTTTAAGAGGTTTTTGCTATAGGGCACATGCGCTCACCAGAGAGAGAGAGAGACAGAGAGATAGAAAGCGAGAAATCACCCCCCAGGGGGGATGGCCACACCGCAATCCCTTCTCTTTCATTCTCCTCTCAGGATCTTGGGCACGCACGCACACGCGCCCGGCGTGAGTTTAAGCCACCGGGTCTGGGATGCGAACCGTGGTTGACTACGTGGGAGTCCAGCGACATAGCCATTACACTAACTGCTGGTCCCCAATTAATAATTCTTAAAAAAACACACACAAACTTCTCCAACAGTCAGGGGACACTGTCCAGCCTAAACCCATCCAAATCCCCCAGTGTCTCATGTAGAAAGAACAGGTCAAAGCTTAAGCACAGAGGCATTTGGGAGGGATCTGAACCTCAGCCTGCTTGGCAGTTAGAACTCCCTCGATGCCTTCATTGTAGACAAAGACACCCTTCTGCATGAGGCGGAAAAAAGATCGCGGGCACGACAAGCAGGCTGGAGGGGGCAGGCAGCCTCACCTTGATGCTCTGAGAGTCGAGGGCTGGCGCTGTGGGCGCTGACAGATTCACCATTAGCAGGAGACATCGAGAGCCCGCACGCTGCAGCACAAGGAGAGAGATTTATAACGCCCGCACAGCTGTTTGAATGCAACTTCAGCCAGATCCTCACCGCGTCCTGGGCAGCGAGGCTTCCTGTCGGGGGGACATCCTCTCTCCTGTCGGCTCAGCCTGGGAGCCTGGACCTTGGGAATAACAGGAGGGAGGGTCCCCTGCTGGAATCTCAGTGCTCGGTCCTCTTCTCTCCTCCAGGACAAGCATGCACTTTCCCCTTGTGGGCATGAGACTACCTGGCCGCTGCCCAGAAGACAGGCCGGGCCCCACCCTGGCAGCACGTGTCCATCCATCCTCACACTCCCAGGAGGTGCAGGGATGCTTCTGGGGTGCAAACACCCTGCAATTAGATCTTTGCATGGGCTGCAAGTACCCAAGGAGCCGGCTGCAGGGGGAGAACTGATCCAAGGCCCCCCCTTTCTATTTATTTATTTATTTTAAGGTTTTTGCCATAGGGCATAAGTGATTGCCAGAGAAAGAGAGAGAGAGAGGGAAAGTGAGAAATCACTCCCCTAGGGGAGAGGCCATGCCGCAATTTCTTCTCCTCCACTTTCCTCCTGGGATTTTGGGCATACACGCACATGTACTCAACTTGAGTTTCTAGCTGCTGGATCCAGGACTCGAACCATAGTCGGCCATGTGGGAGTCCAGTGCCTTAACCACTACACCGCCGGCTGGCCCCCATGGCCAATTCTTGCAGAAACGCATGTCATGAATGACGTCTTCCGTTTTGTGAGCCCTACTATGTATTCAAAATGTGTTTATTCAGATTCTTAGAACACCCTTCATGGGTTTGCGTTCTAATCCCATTTTTCTGATGAGGAAATGGAGGCCTAGAGAGGTTAAGAAACATCCCTGGGACCAGCAGTTGGCATAATGGCTATGTCACTGGACTCCCATGTAGTTGAGCATGGTTCAAGTCCCGGACCCGGTGACTTAAACTCACACCGGGTGTATGTGCGTGCATGCCCAAGATCCCAAGAGGAGAATGGAGGAGAAGGGATTGTGGCATGGTTATCCCCTCTGGGGGGTGGTTTCTCACTTTCTGGCTCTCCGTCTCTCTCTGTCTTTCTGGTGAGCTCACACGCCCTATAGCAAACACCTCTCAAAAAAAAGAAAGAAAGAAAGAAAGAAAGAAAGAAAGAAAGAAAGAAAGAAAGAAAGAAAGAAAGAAAAGAAGCGTCCCCTACGTAAGAAGTCCCCCACATGTGAGTGGCAGAGTTGGGATTTGAACACAGTCTTTGTGACTCCCATGCTTGGGTAGGATTGAATGGTGCGCCCCTGAATTCCTGTCTGATCTGACTCTGTGAATGGCACTGCGTGTGGAAACGGGTCTCTAACGGCAGACGCAGTTAGAGGAGGTCACTCTGGGTCAGGTTACATTCATCCCCGAATCCAACCTGGGGTCCTTATAGAGAGGGCGGTGGTGATGGCCACGTGAAGACAGGAAGGAGATGAGCATGGCGCGGCCACATTGAGGAGTCCACACGCTGCTGGCCACCACCAGAAGGTGGGGGGCACAGGGAGGGTTCTCGCCTCAAGACCTTGTCCCCGCTGACCCCTTGATTGCAGACAACTCTGAGACCATAAGTCCTTGGGGCCAGCAGGTGGCATGGTGGTTAAGGTGCTAGACTCCCACATGGCCAACCATGATTCGAATCCCAGACCTGGTGGCTTGGAAAACATGCCAGGCATGTGTGTGTGCATGCCCCAAATCCCAGAAGAAGCATGAAGGAGAAGGGATTGCAGCATGATCACACACAGACACACACACACATCCCGAGGTAGTGATTTCTCACTTTTTCCTTCTCTTTCTTTGGCAAGTATATGTGCCTATGGCATAAACCTTAAAAAAAAAGAAAGAAAGAAAGAAAAGAAAAAAACCACCACAACAAAAACAAACCTGTTTCAAGCCACCAGTTGGTGGCACTTGCTCATAACAGCCCTAGGAGACTGGTCCAGGTATTCTGGTGAGACAGGCTTTTGTGCCAGGGCGAGGCAGGAGCAGCTGTTCGCCCAGAGCTCGTCCTCCCTGGGGTCACTTCGCTGGGGCCATCCTCACTCTGCCAGTACCCTGACCCGGGAAGCTGCAGAGCCGGGCTGCTTCCCAACGCCCAACCAGAGAGAGACTGAAGAGAACTCAAACTCAACCCTAGGACCCACAGCCCAAATGGCCAGTCCCTCCCACCTCTGTCCCGTTCCTAGGGAACCTGTCCCCCCCCCACCCCCGAGCCCCGCCAGCCTCCAGGACTGCAGGTTCGAAGCAGGAACAAATGGCCCCTGTGCGTCAGCAAGCAACCTTGCCAAAGGCGTCTTGGCTAGTGGCTGGGGGGGCCGGGAGCAAGCAACCTTGCCAAAGGCGTCTTGGCTAGTGGCTGGTGCCCCGCGGCCCTCACGTCCACTTGGCACGACGCTAGCAGGGTCATTTTACCGCAGACGGGCCAAGTGACACTGTGTGCTCTTTGGACTGCCCAGGAACCGGGCTGCATTTGGGTGTCCCAGACACGGTCGTTTCCAGAACACTTTCCCAGCTGCTGGCTCGGGGTGCTTTTCCTTTTCTGCTGGCTTGTCTCTGGGAAGAGAGAGCCTACACTGTCCCTGGGGATGCTACAGCCAGGGTGGGGGGGGGTCCTTCCCAGGAGGGGACACTCATAGGAG